ACATTAAATAAAAAGTAAAAAGAAAAGAAGAAACGTTTAATCAGATTACTAATTAAATTATTTAATTATTAATTTATTAATATAGTGAAATATAAAAAATAAAATGTATAGTGTTCATATGACACCAGGTAGATCTTCTGATAAACAAAGTACTTCGAAAAATATGGATTCTGAAGTAGGAGTATATAAAAATCGAAGAAAGGAATCGATCCCAGTTAAAGTTTTTAATTATTTGAAAACACAAATGCAAGCAGAAGGAATTCCAAGTAAGTAAAATTTTCATTTAATTTTTATTATAAATAATTCATTGAAATAAATAACTCATAGTTATCTTTGCATAAAAAAAATTTTGTTATTATTTGATAAAGATTGAATTATAAAAATCAAAAGATCGAACATATGATAATCATTTATATTTTTTTCTTTCGATTATATATTATATGTTATGGACAGAAGGCTTTAAATAAATATTTTATTAATTTACATTTATGATGCTTGCTGTTTATTTCTTATTAAAATATATAACGATATATAAATATTGATTGAAGATAAAGAAAATAAACGAAAAAAAATTTTTGATTTTATTTTTAATCAAAAATATTTAATTCGGATAATTTATTAAAATTAATTTCATTTTTTTTTATTTCTAATATCGTTTGTTTCTTTATCCTCGTTTTATAAAAAAAAATTGCATGTATTTTTCCGCATATATAGTAGGTATATTTTGTAATTCTTTTTTGCCAAATTTATATTTTTACAAACACCAACTTAAAAAAAATCATTTTACTTTTTTTATTTTTTTAATACTAACATATTTTTTTCTGTAATTAACATTGCACTTTTATTAACATTGAAAAAATAGTTTTACATGATCGCTATAACATAATAAATCGCTTTCTTGAAATTTTTAGATTAAACAAGATAATCTCCAATTGATCATGTTTGACTTTGATTTATAATCTTAAATATATAAATAATTTGTGTAATTATTTTTCTTCATAAATTACATAATATCATTGTTTTTATATTCTTTCTTTTTTAATAACGATAAATACAATTTTATGTACTATTAATAGTACACATTTTTTTTTTAATTTTTAGAAAGATCATTTACTTGACTAACCAATGGTTCAGTATTGATCACTGAAAATAAACAATCTGTAACTTCAACATTTAAATCTTCGCATATATTTACATCTTTTTCGGCTGGCGTTTCGTAATTCGTATAATTATGAGTCCAAACTTCAGTAATTGAATCTTCACTTCCCGCAACTGATTCTCTTAAATCAGACTCGTTATTTGATAATGGTGAATGTAATGGCCGTGATTCTTCTATCATAGCTTCCCTAACGTTCGTTTGTAAATTAGCCATTCGCATTCCGCATGAAGTATCATTATAAAGTAACCAATATGGAGAAAATGAATGTTGTCTATATTCTGCAACAAATTTTTCTTTTTGAGAGCAACTTATACTTGATAAAACTGGTGTATGAGTAACAATAGGAGCTATGTAACAATATACACAAGATGTTTGATCTAATTTCGATAAATCTATACGTTTGTTACTAATGAAATTCAAAATATTTTCTAAAATAGAATCTGGAGGCATTTTGGATATTCTTTTTGGCCAAAATGGATCTAGTATTCCTGAAGATATTAAAAACATAATATTATTTTTCTTTATATTAAATAAATATTTTTAAAGCAACAGTAGAACAACTACATACCATTTGTTTGTATTTTATCTGTTATAACAGGTATATCCCTATGATTATTAGATTCTGTTTGTATTATAGAATTACAATTTTGTTCTGATTGTCCTAAATTTTCAGATAATGGAATGGTTGATTGATTATTATGTGAACAAGAATATTCATATGGAAGATTAGCATTGTAATGATTATTGTTAGAAAATGTTTGAGATGTTGTAGATGTATATGTTTCTTGATCTATATTTGCATTTGAAAAGGAATGTGTATATTGCAAATACTCTCCAGTAGTTTCTGTACTGCACTTAATTAAATTTTGTAAATAATAGGAATTATTACAATTAGATTGGTCATTAGAAATAATATTTGTTTCACAATATTGATTTTCTTCCGATGGATTCAAATTTAATAAATTTTGATTTGAATTATATGGATGTACAGTATCTGTCATTCGATATTGACATGTTAAATTTTCATCATTTATAGGCTTATTTAAACTATCAGAGATTATATTATCACAATACATAGTCTGAAATACTTTTGTTGGTTGAACATCTGATGTTGCATAACTGTTACCTGTTGCATCCATAACATTAGTAATAGTCCAATTTTCATAGACTTGATGCATATCAATATTTGTGTTAGGATATTTATATTGATTAATATTTTCATTTGTTAAAACATTTGAAATTTGTTGACCAATTTCTTCAACACTTTTCACAAAAGTTGGTTCATTCAAAAAATATTCTCCCTTTATACCATTTAGAAATCCATAGCATTCTGTATTGTTCTCTAAATTTTCTTCATTATCTTGATTGTCTGATTCAGCAGTTAAAGTATCAGAATTATCTAACAAAGTATTAGATTGATATTGTTCCATTGTCCAAAATCTTCCAAGTACAGGACTAGCTATCTCACCTAAATTTGCACCAACTGGGGCTTGTAACATTTTTTTTAGAAGTATAGATCCCTGCATATTGCTATTTGTATCTTCTAATGTTTGATATTCTACATTATCATTTGGTTGATATATAGATGTATCTACATTATTAACAGCAACTATATTAGACTTAGTATAATTACTAATATCTAAAGGAACTTTTTGCATATCAGATGAAACTGTTGCTGTTCTTAAATCCACTACAGTTGAATCTTGTATTTGATTATTATTTGCATCATATGTTTGAAATTCTCTTTGGATTCTCTTTAACAAAAATTGTTTAAACTCTTCATAATGAGGAATTTTATTATCTTCATCTCTACTTGCAATTTCTTCTTCTGCACCCACCTATAGAAATAATTATTTTATTTAAAATAAATATTTTGTTATTTTTTTTATTAAAATTTTGTTAAAAAAACTACATATAAATGTAATAAAATTTTCATTGTTATAGAAATATTGTAAATATAAAATTTTTAATAAGATTGATAATTGATGATCGATCTATAAAATTAATCATATTCGATATAATTTTCTGTCTCAAGCATCATCGATCAATTTTTGAGACGAATGTGAGATTTTATAAAATAATTTGAATTTTTTCAAGTTTGAATATATATTACAACATCGAAACTAAATGAAAATCAACTCACCCATTGATAAGGTGGTTGCTGTTGCGGGCAGTAATAATCATCAGCCATACCGTAATCAGGACTATGTAATGGTGTGGAGGTTAACCCGAGTTTTCTGATTTTGACTTTTCTCACTTTCCTCTTACGATTCTGCTTAAGATCTTGCAGTAGCCTGCCAACTTCATTTTCATTTCCGCCTTTTGCGGCTTGCAACACTTTAACCAGTAATTTCTTCTACGGCCAGAAATCATAATCGATCGTTCAAAAATCAATTTACTTGTCGTTTTAGGAAAAAAATTAAGGAAACTTTTTTAGTTATATTTCTAACAATAAATCAGTTACCTTTATGTTACCTGGTACTCGATATCGAAGAGCTAAAGCTTGTAATTCTTTGTATGATAAATTTGAAATATCGTTGCTATTCATTTTTCAATATCAAGCCATCCAGTCGTAATATATCCTTCCCTCAATTCTCACACATTCCTGATATGGCCGATAGAAAAATTCGTCTGCTAACCGAATTACGCGGTTTCTTTTAATTTAAAAATTGATTTAACCGAAAATAATTCCACATGAAATGTTGAAAAAATGTTGAGAAATATCGTCCTTTTCATTGTTAAATTTGATTTGTCTTGAAACTATCTTTATTATATTATTAGTCAAAGTTTTTCAAAATAGTTTATATTTTAGTTATATTTTCGTTTAATATTAAATAATTTTTAGAATATATTTAAAATTTATAATAGACTAATAAAAGCAACTTTAAAAGAAGAAAATTAAAGATTTTTATTCTTTAAATAATGTTTTCTTTGTATATTTTTATATATACAATATTCTTTTATCAATGATTACTATTGATTACTATTATTGGCATCAAGTGCTATTATCCTGCCATCTGGAAATTATGATTTTGACAATTTGATCTTATCGATCGATAATATTGCCACTTTCATAATTCATACGTATAATTTTATATTTGAGATAAAATAATTCACTAAAATAATTTATAATAAAAATTTTAATATATATATTCATTTGATGTATATGTTTGATATATATTTTTGTTGTATTTATCGGTGATCAATACATTTCAAGTAAATAATCTACACCTGCAATCATGTTTTTGGCTTGGTTTCAATTTTAGAAAGTATTTTTGCCTGTCTCATATTTATAATATTAAAGTTTATAATGCATTAAATCTTCTTCTTTTTATTTTAAAATGACATGATATTATGATATGATAGGCAAGTTGTATGTGATGTCCGCATTTAGTAGAATAATCGTAAATAGTCAGCCACATCTCGTAGCTGTTATTCTTTAGAAAGTAGTAAGTATCCAGATTAAGTGTACATATACTCCAGATTAAGTATACATATACTGATGAGTAATTTTACGATCGATTGATCACTAATTAACTAATTCCTGTCTGACCAATGAGATATTTTCTACCTGTTGCTTATGTATAGACATTTTTAAATTTTATAACTGGAAAAACAGCTTCATTTTTACATAATTTCATTATTTTTTTATTTTGACTACCTTAATAAAAAATTGCCGAATAGTTTTATTCAACTTTTGTTCGAGAAAGAAATAATCGCTTTATAGAATCCATTTATAGGATACATTAATGTAATTGTTTTTTTTTCAACGCATCTTATTGAAATAAATTGTTCACTTAGCAAATTGGTTAAACTCGATAATTGATGAGACTTGTTTTGAAACGTATAAAAATAACGTATGACGATTGAAACGATGTACGAAGTTGTGTGCATTATTCTAGTGTGTAAGCGAAACCAATTGATTCGCCAGTACGCAAATATAACGACTGGATGGAAAAGAAGCCGGATGGAGCGGGGATTGGGAAAAAATAAGCAAGGATAACGAGCTGAATGATGATTGTTTATTGAAATAATATCCCATTAGCTACCGGTGGCCAATATTTGGCATATGTATATAATGGGAAAAGAACGTAGACTTGCGCGGGAGCAAGTATACCCCGTGCTTTTGCGTGGCAGCTGTTCAGTGCATCAACGCGAAGGCTGCGCACATCGTTACCCAGTCCGTGGCTTATACGTTAGTCGGTCGTGAAGCATCGATCGAAGAAACAAGAGGTGCACGCGTTGATCGGTTTCGAACGAGAAGTTACGAAGAACGTGAGAAAGCAACGTGAGAAATTGAGTGAGAAGAAGGAAGAGGAAAAAAAAGAAGGAGAAGAAGGAGAGAAGAAAAAGAGAAAGGAAGGGAGAAAGGAAGAAAGATCTGTCCAGTGTGAAGAATTTCGATAATCATAGCGGGAAATTGGAAGAGATCGTTCGATCAATCGTTTCGAAGCAACGACGGGAACGAAATCGACAGTCGGTGGCACGGATCGCTGAGCGCGATCGTTTACTTGTGAACCGGCAACGAATCGGTGCTTGCGGTCAATGAAGTCACGTAAGAGCCGTGAGAAAAGTAAGTTCATCAATCATAAAGGCCGACTGTAGTGCCGCTCGAGTTTCCTCTCCGATAATCGGTGCAGGCCAAGTCGATACGTCGTGCCGTGGAAAGAGATCCTCCTTGAGACGAAGGGATTGACACGACAGCCCAGGCCCGAACGATCTCCCCCTTTATCGCGAAACCGTTCGTTGCGGTGTGTCAGTGCTAACAGCTGCCAAAGATGCAACGGCAAGGTGCGAGACTCGTTCGACAGAGAAAGAAAGAATATACAATACAAATTTTCCTCTTTGTTTGCCCTTGATTAATGATTCCTTTGAGAGATAGCACTTTGGAATATATTGTAATTAATAGTTGGTCCGCTCTAGAGAACCGACCGATGTGACCATGTTCTATGCCTCTCTAGACGTTGTTTTTTTCTCTCTTTCTCTCTTCTCTCTTCTCTCTCTCTCTCTCTCTCTCTCTCTCTCTCTCTCTCTCTCTCTCTCTCTTT